CAATAAAATCGATAAAATGTATATTTTTTCATGGTTCTTCAATTAAATACTTTTTTAATGCCACTATTCATTTGGACATTTTTTTGCAATTGTCATATAATGCGAAATAATCGCAAACGGAAATTCATTAAGAATATGATAGCTTCAAGGTGAAATTAATATTCGAATAAAATGTAAATCTCAATGCAAGTTGCAATACAGCACATGCAATAGAAACTGAAAATATGTTATATATTGTTACGTTTTCCCCCGTGGGTTGACCAACAATCGACTACTCTAAACAGTGATCAAACTCAACTTTATTTCACTTTAAATATAACAACCACTTCAACTATTATTCAAATATCTATCGCCTTACTAGATTGCTCCGACTGTCTCGATGGGCGAGTAGATGGCGTTTATATTTGGCAATCGAAGGCGCCGGAACATTCCTCGGAATTTTATCGAAGCCGGTAGCATTATTCTCGGTACATCTAGAACGGCAGCGAACATCGTACATTCTTAGCTATATCATAACTGATCCCAGTACTTTCATTCATAAATTCACAAAGTTTTTGGTGACCTCGAAACGAAGTGAGGAGCCAATTTCGTTCTTTTACCATAGGCGTGCGCTCATATAAAAACGAAATTTAAGGTTATTATATAATAATTTGTGGTAAATTACTTATAACCAACTACAAAAACTAAAAACAATAATAACAACAGCGAATAAACTGAACACAATATCAATTTCCGACCGTTTATTATAACTAATCCGATATTTGTTGTACTTTCAAATTTTTCGATACTACAGCGCTGAACGCTTCGGATGAGAATCTCATCTTAAGAGCGGTTGAAGGTCCCTGGCAACTTGGGCGAATCACGTGGTAAGAGCCTACTGGTTGTATCATTCTACTGTGAACCAATCCTGATATTTTCGATTAGTTTGAACCACTTGACAGTGTTTTTATTAATTCAACCTTTTCTCCATTTGACCGATCTTTTAACTTTCACAGTTTAAAAGTTACCAATACGATCCCTTTAAAAAAGTGACCACCCTGTATATCTTCAACAATTTATTATCAACTTTTGCAATACTCATCATGAATGAGTAACAAAATGACAATCAAACTTGCTTCCAGCACATCACCGGTTCCACGAGTCTTAACCCCTTTAATAAAATCTTTATGTTTCTGCAAATATCAGCTTTTCTAGGCCAAACGCCATGTCACTATTAGAAAATTAATCCCTGCGTTGCCTATAACCACAGTCGAGTCTTATTTACCCTAAAGAGGTTTTTTTCGTTCTCAGAATTGAATTTATAATGAACTAGTTATGTAATTCAACTCAGTAAGATTGACATAACTCTATCAAGAAAGAAAAATAATGAAATTTTGCATTCAGTGCGTGGCAAGAAATTAACTTTCCTACGTCAAAATTAACTTGGTGCCAGTGTAGTATTCAAGGATAAGCACTCATTATCACGAACTATTTATATTGTTTGTTCTTTCTGATAGGAATGTCAAATACGTTTGTGCGAAGCTTACTTAACATCTTCACCAGAATTATGGATGTTTGAAGACTTTAGTGGTGATTTTTTTGATTACCCGATACTTTCAAAAAGAAAAAGTTTGCGTTTTATTTATAGCAGTATATTCCGAAACGATAAACATTGTGCCGGTCTTCGAGCGGATATACTAATAGTGCACATTTCTAGGTAAATATAAACACGTGGTGAACGTTCTATTGCTCCTCTTTGACAAATCCATCTGCCAGAAAATATATCTAACTGGGGAAGAGTAGTGTGGTGGAGCTCCATCGTATTGAAAATGAGTAACATCGTCTTGAGAGCAGATTTAAGTAGAGCTCACCACTTGGACACAAGATCCAATAATATTATTCCCAATACTATTCATCGCTCCAGTGGTGATAATTTAAAAAAAAACCTGCACTCATCAAAAAAGCAAATATTATGCAAAAAATTTTGTTTTCCATTTATAAAATCCGTCATTGTTTCACATAATTCAATTCATCTGTCGAAATCGTCGCCAGAAAGCTTTGATAAATTTTCATTTTATACGGGTAAAATTTATTTAACTTCAGTGCTTTCCTTGCTGTTTCGTGAGACATTCCTACTTGACGTGCCACAATGCAGAAGCGAAGGGTTCTGCAGTAAATGTGCCTTAAACTTTTTATGCGCTGCTTCATCCAAAACACGGTGATTATTACTGTTTGTTAGCAACGGAACCAGCTTCACTAATTGAGCAACTGATTATTATGATTTAAATTAATGTTGAGTGTTGAGATATCCTTTTATTGAACATTGTTCCGTTCTACTTGCGCATCTTCGAAATGTCCAATGAATAAGAATAACTTCAGTGTTAAAAGTACTGTTGAAAATATATCAACAAACGCACAACATCCTACTCGTAAAACTGATTTTACAATAAAGTAATTCTGGCAATTATGATAAATGGAGAATAATTCAAGAAAACACTCACGAACGGATCATTTTACGTAGATTGTATTCAACTTGTGAAATGTGTCAAAACACGTAGAACGGCCAAATTAGCGATTGACGTTTATTTCTTTATTTTTATATAACTCTTAAACCAACTTGTCAATCGTGATTACCATACAAGTATGTAAACTACATTCTTTCTAATCATAATTTTCAACGGAATATTTTGGTTCTTTATTATTTTGTTGGATATTAAAGGTGAAATAATAAAGCCATCATTGAGCCCCCCCCAATCATATCGAAATGGGTTGGTTATCTGTGGCCTTGGCCAATATCTGAGCCAAGCAACGTAGAACAGAGTAATCAATTAGATGGCAGACAGGTTCTTCAGCAGACGTTCATCCTGGACCGTGATGAAAATCATTTAATTCTACTCATCTGGATACGTGAAATATAACACAATTATATCACTCTTCAATTCCGAAAACTATTCTGTTCAGAATTTTTTTTGTGTTTATCTCAAATAACCAAAGAACGTTTTAACAGTTAGCAGTTCAAATATTCCAAATTGAAACCCGTCATTTGCCAATTGTCACTCTAATCACACGTTTAGGTATTTTATCGTTTAGTTCACCAGTTTTCAGAAAACCGTACTCCATATCTAACTGGTTCTTCAGTAGTGCCACAATAGTGGTGATTTTAGAACCACCAAACCCCATTTCTGGTTACTGTTTGATAACATCTTATTCAAGACGAGTTCTTAAATTCACGAAAACTATTGAGTTCAGAAAGTTTTTTGTTTCCCTCAAAACAACATGAAAGTGAAGGAAGTACTTTTTAACAATCACCCATTCAAATATTACAAATTCAAACACGTCATTTGTCAACTGTCATTTTTTTTCACGTCAACAATATCATCGATAAGTATTTTGACATATGGTTCACTAGTTTTCAGGAAACCGTGTTGAATATCTACCATTTGTTCAGTATTACCACAATAGTAGTGTTTTTAGAATCACCGAACCATCACACTTTTGGTTACTTTTAAAATGCATCTTAAGTAAGATGAATCCACCGATTGGTGCGATTCGTCTACTGGTCTATTCGAAATGTTAGCGCGTTTCTTTTGATTGAAGCATTCATCAGAATGCACAAAATTGAATTAAAAGAACATTTTTTCAAAATGATAAAAAAGTCAAAAAAATCAAATACAATCACGTGGACTCAGTAATAATCGACCAACAGCATTCTTTATTCATAATGAATCTACCATTACCAATTTATGCGCATTTAGTAGGGCTCGATTTTGAGACCTCTCCTTTTCGTGTTATTCTTTAATGACGTTTCTCGGTATATCAGGCATTCTCAATTTCTCCTATATGCCAATGATCTCAAGCTGTTTAGAAGAATCGAAATCGAAACAGATTCTTATATGCTTCAAGATAATCTCAATAATCTACTTACTTTTCAGTATCTGACCTATCTCTCAACGAAGCTAAATGCAAAATAATGAGTTTTACACGAAAGAAGTCACTGACTATCAAGAACTATTTCATTAATTATATCAATTTACAGAGAATCGATGAGATGAAAGATCTCGGGATCATTTTTACTGGTGTGTTCAGTTTTAGAATAGAAATTTAAATTAAACCTCACAATTTATTGTGAGGTTTAATTCAAACTGTCAAAATTGTTGATACTGTCAATATCGTTTTGGTTGGTTTCCGGGGTTTGCCGTGGTCTCCTTTGGTTTCATACTGATATCGGTTGATAAGTCAAGAAGAGTACTTCGACCACGACACTGAAGATGACTGCCGCATTTGCAGTTGAAACATTTGGAGATTGTAACCAAAGAAAACCACAGCAAAAACCCGGAAATCAACCAAAACATTAACGCCAGCCGTAAAAGCCTACATTCCTATACTTTCAATATTATTCTTGGTATTTCTTTGGTGTGAATGATTCTGGTTATTCTGTTTCTTTTCATTTCACTTGCATATTTTGAATTGAGTGATGATGTGTTAGGTTTTCTTGCTTTAAATGTCACGCATACTGATGTGCCACGATATGCATTGGAATAATCACCAATGCAGAGCGCAATCGTTATTGTGCTATATAGTGCACTTTCTCCTGAAAAAAAAATTATCTAAATGGGATACAAAATCAAAATTATAAATTTTGGGCTCGTTCAAATGGCCGTCGCACGATATATTGCATAATAAAGACGGTTGGAAAAAGTACGTTGACCAGTAAAAGGAAGAAAATGGAATAATGAATATTTCAATTGAAACGGTAGTTTAGTTTCTTATGAGCTTCAGCTACCGTACCAGTAAATGTCCCAAATTACCAGATGAAGAAATGGTCTCTTTGATAGAAATATGAAAGAATATTATGTCAAATAAAGCATTTACGTTTCATTAGTGTGAAGCCTTAAAATATATTATTATTTGTCCTCTGAAGAAACACACAGTTGATAATAATTGTATCCTCAAACTAGTTACCTGATGAGCATTACTGTAATTCGAAGAGGTTAGTTCCATGGTGAATTATAAAAACTTACCAACTCGACGCACCATCCTAAAATATTGGCCAGCTTGATGTTCTCAGGTGTCAAATTTTCAGGTTTTTCAAGCATTTTGTAAGCGATCACAGTCGAGAGTCCTCTAGTTTTTTTACCGGTAGGCACATTGTACTGTAAAACCTTGGCGAACCTTTTGGTTACTTCCGGAATGTCTGTATGACGACCTGCGTCTGTTAGATCTCTGACGATATCGGGAAATATCGCCATGAACTCGCGACTATCTTCTTTAGAAAACACTGGGGTACTACTCACTGGTGGCTTGACTTTAGTCTGGATTGTGGACAGAGCTCTGTAACAAGAATGAGAAGTGGTAGTTTTTTTCAATGAATTACATTAAACTAGGTTGAAGGTTTGAAATATTTGTATTACAAATTGAAGTTACAGACGTACATAGATCTATTCGAATTATAATGCTGCAATGGTAGGAACTATTCTCCTTTTATAACAAAACAATTTCTTCAGTGAGACCCTCGAGTACTTCGAATGACTTGAAGAACCCTGGGGCTATGATAATGATGAAATGGCTCAACAATACATTGCTCACATTTCAGAAAACAAAAGGAATTCATGACTATGATCAGTACCGGCGTCGGACCAATCAGAAAAGGCATAATTGGTTTTATAGGCCAACTCATCTCAATTGTTTTCATATCGAATTATCGAAGGCTGGATTACTGAATTATATTTTTCTCATTGAATAAATATAGTTATGTTGAACGTGACATAGGCCTTTCAATGCTGCCTTACATTGAGTTACCTGCAATTTTCTAACCACATGAAACATGATCTACGAGAATTTCACAAGTTTTTTACAATGTTCGAATAACAATATTAGATTTCAGCCGCAACTTTTTTGTTTTATCATCCCTCTTGACTACTTTAATCCAATTCTAAATTTTTCTTCTAAAAAGGTAACTTGAGTTTAATCAGTAGCAAAAATATCAATACGGAATATTTACTAAAATTGTTTGACTTGTCCACAAAATCGTTCATTATCATTGTTTTTTTGTATGTTTCTTGGATTTCCGATTTGGGGACATATCCGGAAAGCCCAAAGCTCCAGGCTCGTCCCTGTTGGGATTATTTTAAACACCTTCGAGTTCAATATGATACAATTTCGAAGCCACTCTCAAACCATCATGAAACCGAACAGGTTGCTCTTGCAATCCAGATATCAACTACTGATTAGTTTTATTTATATCTATCAAATATAAACTGCCTGCCATACTGAACGCAAAAAATAGAAAAAAATTCAACTGAAGTATCTTGAAAATAAAATTAGATATTGAAGTGGCGTTTTGAAGCTCTTTGTGGTATGCAAATTATTTATAAATATTTATATTTATTTTCAGGCTATAATTTAAGGCTAATTTCGTACTATTTTCTTGAATTTTTGCTTTTCATTCAAGAGAGGTAGTGTTGAGCTAGCAGAATGCAACTAAAAAAATCATATTATTGAATCCAACTACTCCAAAATTTTAGGCTCCTATTGCTGCCTATCGCCGATTTTCTGTATGTTGTCTTTTTTTAATTTTTTTTTTCATCAGTGGATTCTGCTAGCATTTGTAAAGCACCTTTGTTGAACAAGCAGAACCACTTTGAATTTTCTAATTTATTTTCACACCATAATTTCTGACTAATTTATGGCTTATTTTGTACTCTATCCCTGAATTTTTTCGCTCTTCATTCTACGGAGAATCCATCCACAAATTAACATTTTTAAAGAAATGAACTTTAAATGTTCAAGCCTGTCTCGGATATACCTACACGGTAGGATGAATGTGACGCCTATCAGAAAACAACTACTCCACTGGCTGATACCACGAACGCCGTCAAATTATATGCAATTGGCAATACAACTGCATATGCAGGAACTGTTCTGTGAAGTTCCTGCACTGACGCCTGTAGGCGTGAAATTCTTTTAACAAAACTAGAACTGTACGGTTTCAGAGGAGTAGTACATGATTGGCTAAAAAGTTATCTGGTAAACAGGATGCAGTATATTCAAGCAAACAATCACACTTCGTTAAAAACAATAAATGATATAGGGATTCCCCAAGGTTCTTTTTTAGGTCCTCTGTTATATCTGATATACGTGAATGACACTTCTAATGAAAGTTGTATAATGTATACAGACGACACCTCCCTCATAGCTACAGGGAGCAACGTAGAGCAAACAGTCTTGAAGGCCAATGAAGAAATCAAAATATCTGAGGAATGGTTCTCTTCAAATGGATTAGTTTTGAACGTGAAGAAGAAAACGTTCATAAGATTCAGTCACTCAAATAATAAACTCGACCACAACTTGTTGCTAAAGTCTAACGGCAGATCTATCAATCAATCACCATCTACGAAGTTCCATGGGCTGCATATTAATGAACGCTGTACATGGACTACCCATTTAAATGAAGTGTCCAAAAACTAGCTCCAAAGTATTATCTCCTGTATATACCAACTCAGGAAGACCGTCGGAAAATCTGTATTGATGATAATATATTTTGTACACTTTCAGTCAGTAATGACATATGAAATCATAGTATGGGGAGTATCACAGGAGGCCGATAGGTACTCAAACTCCAGAAAAGAGCAGTTAGACATATCGTTGGAGTTAGCCTAGTTGACATGTATTTTTTTTGTAACATTTTTCAGCCCTGTCCAAAAATTACGACCAAGGTGTCATTCGATTCGTATTTTTGCCTAGAAAGATTAAGGAAAGGTCCGAAAACGCGCCGATAAAAATTACAAAAGTTATAAACAATTAAGTGAAAAAAATGGGGCTTTAGTTTTTTCTTAATATCTCAAATCCACCTGAAGATGAGAATCCATGCAATGGGAGATATATTCAGTGTAACACAACAGATTACTTTCAAGTGCACCAGATCTCTTTATGTATGTTTAGTCAGGTATAAGAATAAAAATCCATAAATATTACCCCTAGGCTACATACAAAGACATATCTACTCTATTGAAATTTTGGATAAACCCAAAACAAGCACTTTTCTCAAACACCATAAATGTAATACTCTTCTCGACTCGCCTTTCACCAACCAAGTTGGCGTCTTCAGGAGATGAAGAAAAGTGCAAAATTGTGAATAAATTATACTGCATTCATGAATGTATTTATTCATATTCAAATGTTCCTCAGAAGGTCAAATCGCTTTTTGTAGGGTAGCAGGAGGGCGACAAATGTGAAACGAAAACAAAGGAAAAGTTCGCAGGTTTACAGCCCCCGGGACTACTGACGATTCGACGATTGAAAACTACGAGACTTTGATCACGTAGGCTTGGATCTTTAGAGGTCACTGACATAGCGGTCCGTAAAAGAGCGCATCAGTGGTGGCGCCTGTGAAAATATTAGCGAAACATTCGTATCATGAACTGAATTTGTATATTTGTTTATAAATTTAAACTCATGAGGACGAGCTATAATTGCACTAGTAATATATTATTGATAGTATTCAACCAACTTTCTGAAGATGCGATTTGAAATAAAATACTGGACCTCCATAAAATTGGTGACAAGTTTCAAATAGTTTATTTGAATAATATATAGATATAAAATAGTTGACTGCTGAAGTCATTCGGATAACTGGTTGACACAAATATATCAGTTTCTAGCAAAATCAGAATTATTATGTTTTCCTAATACCTATAAGGTATAATCAGCAAACATAAAGTTGTCACTATTTAAGTTCCATGTTCGTGAACCACTCAAAGTTATTTTGTGAAAGACTAATGCTAATGAGACTCGAAGGGGCGAATACTTGGTATACAATCAACCTTGCAATCAACATCCAATACATACCTACGCATTAACTTTCTTATGATAACTTTCTTATTAGTCAATGGGCTATGCTTGAAGACTGGCAGTAAACAAATCTAAAGCAAATGGAACTTCAAAACCAATTGCATATGCAGGACATTTTCTGTGAAGATTCCTGCACTGACGCCTGTCTGATATAATCCAACGCCCTTCGTGGTATTTGCCAGGGGAGTAGTTGTTTTCTGATAGGCGTAAGTCCATTAAACCTACTGTGTAGGTATATAGAGACTGGCTTGAACGTTTGAAGTTCCATTTGCTTTAGATTTTCTTATGATAATATATCTGCACAAATATTGATGTGAATTAAAATTATGTTTGATAATGATTATAGAATTTTCACAATAAATTTAACTGAAAACGCGTTTCGCTACACGGTAGCTTCATCAGTTACTGGTGTTACCAATAACCAGTTATCAGTAATAATAATAATAAATGTTTTTATTGCTACACAAACAGCAGTTACAGAGAACAAGGTTAATTAATAATGAGTAGCAAATGGCCATCATTCGCTCTTCTACCTTATGAGAACGATAGAATAGCGCTCTTTCACGTAATCAACTGATGAAGCTACCGTGTTGCGAAACGCGTTTTGAAGAAGATCTATTGCGAAAATTATATAATTATTATCAGTGGTCAGAGTATTCAAAATACAAGTAATCAAAATTATAATTATTATTTAAAATCTTCATTGATGCTGACAAAAATACTGCCTTGTTAATCAAAAAGGTCACAACTACATTTCGGGAAAAAGTATCTTACATCGGGAAAAAGTCGGGAAAAAGTATCTTACATCATCTTACTGAATTTGAAAGTTGTATGACGATAATTGATCGAGATATTTGCATGACGTATTACCTAAATCACTACTACTCCGTAAAAAATGTAGACGACCTTCTTGAGTATAAGGGAAGAATTTTCTGACTGAATTCAATTAATGAACGTTGGTGTTTATTAATAAACATCAATAATATTAATAAACATTTTATATATCAGCAACAAAAATTGTTTGATTCAAAAATTTTAAATTTTCATGTACGAGAACTACTTGTCTATCCAGACAGGTCCTTTGATTAACTTACAGTTGAGTATGCATTTTTTTAAGTAATTTGAGGTTATTGGGATTTGTTTGATTCAGTTAAAACACATGACATTGAAATGCCAAAGTTTTCCACTGGTTGATAAGATTATCAATTTTTGCCAACTTGAAAAAAGTCAGATTCCAAAAACGAACTTGAAAATTATTTGTTAGAAATTAATTATTCAACCTCCTCTTGATAAGTCAAAGTTGATAAAAGTACATTTTGAAAAAATACAACTATGGATCATTCTAGTAAATATTTGGCCAATTGTAGTTTCATTATAGTTTACTTAGGATCGTTACAAAAAACCTACATCAATGTTATAATTATTATTAAACTGAGAAAGTGGACTGGTGTATGATTGTCAGAAAATTATTTACCAATTATCAGTTTTCATTCTTAGTTTATAATAATGTTGAATAGACTTCGACGGCAGCTCACAGCAACCCCCTTATATGCAATACAGGCATCATAAATTAAAATTCCTCACATATAAACATTCTTACATCACATCATCACATGAATGTAGGTAAGTATTTGATGAAGAAAGACACAGACTCACGACTTTTCTGGTCGTATAGGTTAAACAACATCTCGACTGTGGCCTACCAAATGCTCCGCCACTGTCACTGACACATGTATTGATATATCTCTTCTCTCACCTCATATTATTCTGTTTGCTGATTTTTGCCCACTTATTCCTTGATTCCCCATAGTCTGACCCATTCAAGTCGAGATTACCCCCCAATTTAGATTCTTGTCTGGAAATTGCATCGCTGTTGGTAACGCCAGTCGTTTTACTGATATGCCTCCTGATTTCTCTGAATATTTCTCGGCTGGTTCTATTCAAAGCCAGTTTCTTTGACGAAAACATGTTCACTCATCCGCCTTTAATACACGACACTAAAATACTGTTTAAGAATAAGGATCCCAAATTGTATATAAACTGGAAGAGAGAGACGAAAAGAAAACAACTCGTAAACCGAGTTCTCGCTTGTACTGTCTCAGCGTTGCCAGGTCTTTCATTACTTGCAAGTGGAAATTTGATAAGTTGATATACAGTGTGCGGCATCGAATAACAGATCGAATATTTTCAAAGCATATTTGTCGAGAATGTATATACAAAACATATCGACTTTAAATTGAAGAAGAATCGCACAGTCACTTATGCATGGAGCACGACAGCAGTCGGTTTTACGTGGAGCTATAGATGTTTCACATCAAAAATTAAAATTATGTTCATTGTATGAACCTAAAAAATGAAAAATACAAAATTTGAATAATTCAAACTGCATTAATTCACAACACATGCTCGTACTGTTCTCCAGACGAAGACGACGGACAAGCTTTTTTATGCACCCCTATCATGTAGGCTTCAAATGAAAGGGTGTGCTGAAAAGAATGCGAACAATAATATGACGTCACTCTTATAGTAAAATATGTGGATTCCCTCGATAGCAAACTGGGTTTTTTTATACACCCCTAACCCATATGATATCGGTTTCAAATGAAGAAAACCGCAATGTAATTGTGAATTTTTAGATAGCATCAAGAGTAATTTGTCACATCCATATTTTTTCGGTGATCAACAGCAACATGATAGAATATGTACATATTAGAAGAAACTTTTTTACTGCTGTTTTTAATAATAATTAATAATCATTCAGATGAGGTGAAAAAATGAAAAATATTATTTCTGCAATTCAGCCATTTTCTGCGACCACGAAACAGAACCGTTGATATTGAAATATTTGTTGAACAGATGATGACATATTGCCAGTAATACTTCCCCTATCTATAGATATCTCAGAATTCGAAGACGCATTCCAAACACGTATAAAAATAGAGACAAATATTTTCAGAAAAGGTAAGAAACCTCACAAACAAATTCAAAACTTCATGGCAAATAATTATTGAGATGACTACAAACAAAAAGAAAAGCAGCATTCTACCACATTTCAATGATACATGTTTGGGAACAAATCAACCAATGAAATGTTTTGATGAAAATGCCACTTATCTAAAAATATACTCCTTTCAATTCAACCCACTAATCTTATTTCGGAAAAACTATCACACAGAAACAGTTACACTCGCAAGATTTCCATTAGTGAAAATATTATTTCATTCATCCCAATTATTAATGAATTTCTCCAAAAATTGATTGAAGAAAAATGATAAAAGAAACACAGGATATGACGATGTTTCAATTTTTATTGAAAAAAAAATTGTTCGTTTTGTTGTTGCTCCACTTGCGCATATGTATCACTTATAAAGGAACATGTCCCATCAGATCGTGAATTTGCATTAGTTCAGCCATATTTTGAATAGGTGTTCACGAATTATTTGATGACTATAAGCCTATCAGTTCACTCCGTTCGTTCTCAAAATTATTTCAAACATCACAATATCTTCAGTTATTGATAAATATGGCTTTTCAAAGGTAGACGCATTGTTTAATTCAACTAACAACATCTACATCTGAAAATATATATTGTGATATTATTTTGGATCTAGCCAAAACTTAGTCATTTGTCTATTCAACTAAAAAACATTATGAAATCCGTAGTAATGAACAAAAATGGTTTGATTCTCATTCAACTGGTCAAACACACGCACCCAGTTTCTGGATATCATATAATTCCAGAAACTGGCCAATCTAGGAGTACCATAAGGCAGTGACGTGGGGCCTCGCTTATTTAGAATTTAGATAAATAGTGACATAATGGAACTATCATAAACCATGCTGATGATAGCACTTTACTGTTTGTGATTTCGACTTTTCCAGAACTGACTTTCACTGAAGGTGGATGAAACGAATGCGGTTTTTTTTAAAGAATCGGTCTCCGAGTACTCCAAATAGCAATAGCATTATTATTATTATCATTTTTCTTTCCCTGAGGTTGCGCTGATTGAGTCCTATCCCCCAAAGCCTCGATACATTCAAGAGGGCGCGCCAACATTATCAACCAATTAACACTCCAAGAATCATGTGCCCTAAGCAAGCGTAGTGAGCCAAGAATGACATCCTTCTACATTTGTCCGGCAAAGATTTCTGTTTATCACTAAAATTAATACTTATTATTATTATGTTCAAGAACACTTTTTTTGATTTCTTGAATACGTTTAACTNCCGTTGGAATGAAGCAATGCTTGCAGACTACTGCTGGTCTGTGTGTAGGGATGCTCCAGAAGTGTTTTATAAAAGACAAGCTAAACGACAGCGATCTTACAATGAATCGGATGGACTTAATTGAAATTTGGTGGTACAAACTTCTTTTATTTGTCAAAACACTAAGAATAATGTTTTTTTTTATTAATTTTGTACTTAAAATATTCTAAAAGAAACATAACAATATTGTTTTATGTACTTTCACTTTTCACGTATAGTATAACTACTCTTTAAGATTAAGTACTGTGTATCTCAAAAACCAGAGCTAATAAAAATCTTTCATTGTTATTTTCGTTTTAATCACCCCAAAATTAGTAGAAATTGACTAATTTAGTGTAGGAAACATTCAAAAAATATTTTTTTGTTGTGTTGTGAATCAGAACAACCATCTTGACAAAGTGATCTTGATAGAGTCTGTGAAATTCGAAGAGAAGTCTTCATATTTTATCGACCATATTCGTCGTCAGGAGCTGAAAACTCCACGACAAATATCGTCTCGCACTGATGGTCGGAAAGAATTAGGTACATCAGGCTTATTAGCTTGAATGAGCCTGAGGGTAGGGAACGAAAAGTTTCATTCTTTCGTTCGTTTCGTTCCCCACAACGGATTCAATATCACCTGAAGCGTAAGGCAACACCGGTGTCTCGTCAATACCGTAAAAGTGCCGTAGTTGATGGTGATAAAACACTCTTAGGGCCGCGCTGACAGCGAGTGCATTACGGGTCTCAGACACCACGCGGCAGGTCCTGCAATTTGTGCCAGGAACTTATTATTATTATTATTATATCATATGCTTTGAGTAATGTGATAAATTAATGATTTTAGTTCAATTTGGAGTTTGTTTTCTTTTAAGAGCTGGTAAATGAAGGCTTTGTATTTATAAAACGTTTCTCACCATTTTTCACCATTAATTTACTAGTTGTTAGGAATCACACGTTAAAAGACCTCGTTAATCCTTAGCTCGCAGAAGTTTCGACTTCTGAGGGTTGTCGTTCGTAGGGGTGTGACAGCTGGTTAACAGAAAAACAGATTTTTTTTCATCAAGGATAATGTAGAAAATTTATTTTCGTTCTATATTTGCACATTTCACCTACCCTGTATAATAGAAACGATTTAGATATATTATACTGTTATGAAAATAAAACAGTTGTTGAAGAATTGAATTTGTCAAAAGTTAAGAAAAGTTATTCAGATGTTTGTTATCGTTCTCAAGATGTAATACTTTTTTTTCTAATTCTCATTAAAAAAATCATGTATTTCTGAAATGTTGAACATCTCAAGATCAGCGAATCCCTAATTTTACCTGATCTTGGTTGATTAGATCAATGTGGTTGTTCCGCTTTCTCTCGTTCATAGTGATTCAAAATGGAGATTTTATTCAGAAGGCCGTCGTGTACACTCAGAAATTCCAGCGTTCTTCTACTAATGAATCAGATAACCATCTGTTCGAAAGGAATTGAATAATAATAGAAACAATCCTAATTACGACATAAATGACATAAAATGTCATGAATATGAAAAATGAAATCACAAGACATACACAAATACAAAAACCAAATAAATATCAACATCAAATGTATTATCAATTGTAATCGGAATATGAAAGCTTTATCAAAACTGATTTAGATCAAAACAATTAATCCAAAAATTTAAAGGTTATTCTTGTTATCCTGGGATGCAAATTGACTGTGGTTTGATTTTTTTTAAACATACGAACAGTTGTAAGAAAAATACTCAAAGAGAATGATAATGTTTTGTGACAACGAAAGTGAGAAATGATTTATTTCGTAACTGAACGTGATCAAACTAGGATACAAAGTGTGCAAAATACATATGTTAAGAAAGAAATAGTCTGTAAAAAGTCTGTAGTCAAAGTATTATATGAAAGAAAGACAACTTCAGACAGGATGTGTCAAGTGTCATGTTAAAAATAATGACTGAACCACATGGCTATCAGCCTATTTTGTTTTATATAAGTCAAATATTACAAATGTGCCATGTACTTATTTTGATACTTCCTGTTGCCTGACAAGTAAGTAATCTTAAACAATTTTTCCAAATTTCTCAACCTTAAAGATTAAAAACGATTTGCAACTTCAATTTTCACTAAACTTCCTTTTCAATTAGATCA